AAGATTTTCCATTTATTTTTGGCATATATGTCCGTCCTCTCCTAGAGTATGGTAGTCAAGTCGTTCACTCCGGTCTGATCCGTGACCGTAATGCCCTTGAACAAGTTCAAAGGACGGCAACAAAAAAGGTGGTTGGATTGCAATACTTTCCCTGTCCTGAACGTCTAGTGGAGCTTGATCTGTATCCTCTGTTAGTCAAACGAATTAGGGGTGAATTATTTCTTCTACACCAACTGTTCTCTTTGGGGCTAGTAGATATGCTTTTCACTTTAGCCCACACAGGTGAAACACAGGGTTGTAGAGGTTCTTCAACCGACAGTTTCACAAGGGCAGTGTTCTCTTCTAACCTCTTGTTTTTCTCTAAGTTTCTTGATAGATCCNTAACCATGGAATACCTATCAGAATCATCAAGGTTCAGAAATCAAGTAGCGACTTAGCTTATCGATCAGGTAGCTAAACTACCGTCAGGTTTTTTCTTTCTTCCTTTAAGGACCTTTATCCACCGGACACAATCAAGTGTACCGTCGAGATTTAGCATTTATCGCCATTAGTTGGCGATAGCTATCCTCCAGTAAAAATTTCTTTATTGGATATAGCAACTTGAATATTTCCAGGATTAAGTTTTGCTTTAAATATTAGCGTTCTTTCAATGAACTCGAAAAGCGTGCCCCGACACAATTCCCCACAGTGTGCTCTGTATCGCACGCTTCCGTTGCATTGATCAGATCTACTTTCAGGTTTCCGCTGCCGTTGCCTAAATATCAGCCTAGGCCTAGCTAAATCTACTTCCAACCTTTCTGAAGATCTCAGAATATATCGTTTTCAATAAACGCAATCTCTGGTTCTGTTTCCATTTGGGACGAATATTCAAAACGGACGTGAGTAAACATTAGTGACGGGTTCTGACGAATATCAGCAACCATCTAGTCTCTAAAGGGTAATAACTAAAAGCTATACAAACCTCAACCCCGCACCACACTTCGCACATTCTTCTTCACCTTCAGGGTAATTACTCACTGGAACGCATTGCCAGAAAAGATAGTCTCTCGACTTGATAAGTATCTAGGTCCAGTTGCCTCCTCAGGACAGGACAGGACAGTTCACAGAACTTACGGCTTGAGCCAGTAAGGTAGTCCATATTCTTGCTTTTAAGGGTCACGGGTGTCTCCTAACGCTACGACAGTGGGTTGATCGGTCCTTGGTGGTGTAATGGTACTGCTGTGGAGCAGGGACGCCAATCCGGTTTGCTGTAGATGAAAGCAGCACCAACCGATCAGTCACAGGCTAACCAGCAGGTCCGAGTACCCCTCCAGTAAACAGTATGGAACCCTCAGGCATGCAAAAATAGGTTAAGGTAAAAAAAGAAGAGTAGGCTAATACGGGGAGGAGGGTGTGGAGAGCTGGATTAAGACAGGAGAAGAAAGTAGTCGAAACTGTAAGGGATGGTATAGTTAGTAAAAAAGAATGTGGGAGGGGGCCTGTTCTGGGGAAAGTTGGAGATGTAGTTACCACCAAGGACTGTCGTTCTTTCTTAGGCTGATTCGGGGAAAACTTCGCCCCACACCCCATCGAGCCTTTTTTTAAAGAGTTCCAACGTGGATACCGAGACAACCTCATCAGGAAGTCTGTTCCATGCGTTGACGACTCTATGAGAGAAGTAGTTCGCTCTTCCTCTTTTTACCGCCCGAGGTTTGGCCAGTTTCAGCTGGTGTCCTCTTAAGACTGGGTTTTCACTGAGGGAGAACAGTTGCCTGATAGGCTGTGAGAGTCCTTCCAGTATCTTGAAGACCTCTATTAGGTCACCTCTCCTTCGCCTGTGAGAAAGGGAGAACAAGTTTAGCTCATGCCTGCACGCAATACTCGAGGTGGGGTCTCATCAGGGCCTTGTAGAGGGGCAGTAACACTGCAGGGTCCCTAGATGCTACTGTTCTCCTTAGCAAGAACAGCGCCTTGGAGGCCTTCGCTGAGGCCTGCTGACACTGTTTTGTAGACAGGAATGAACCATGGATGGCGATACCCAGGTCCCTAACCTCGTCAGTCATTTCGACTGCTGTGGGCCTCATACCGTTTATCACCCTCGTCTCTGCGAGAGATCCTTCTAGGAGAAGCTGTTTGCAATTGCCAGCGTTTAGTGGTAACAGCCACTCCTCTGTCCACTACTCAACTTCGTTCAGATCGGCCTGCATGACGTTAGTAGACGGGTCACCGACAATTTTTACATCGTCAGCAAACAGGAAGGAGGGGTGTATTATCCTCTTGGTTAAGTCGTCTATGTAGATGAGGAATAAGAGTTCCTAGCACGGACCCTTGGGGCACGCCACTGCAGACTGTTCCCCGAGTGGACATCTAATAATAATAACAATAATAATAATAATAATGTATATTTCACGAAACCCGTGAAGCATGCACAAGGCATGATCATNACGACAGAACAGGTAAATGGATAAACTACTTGGGAGACATACATACTGGAGATGGTATGGGAGCGAAACGAAAACGCCGTGTAAACGGAACACAGAGCGGACAAGGTCACAAACGATGGTGTGGAGGATGGATAAATGTGCAGTATAAGCAAATCAATCGGAATTGTAGTCACTGATAACCCGTTATCGAGGGGATTCGGCGTGCAGCTCTAATGGGAGAAGATACG